GTTCTTAACAGTCCTTTGACATACGAAAGTGTTATTATCCCCCATTTTTCCCATGAGAAAATTGAGGCTTAGAGAGGTGACAAGGCCTTCCCAGGGCCCCAAAGGCTAGGAAGTGGCAGGGGCAGGAGTGAGCACAAATCCCCTGGCCCAACCCTTGAGTCCGCCTGGAACCGAATATCCGAGGCAGCATAAAGCAAGGCGGGTCACAAGGTCAGAGAGAGGGCCCAGCGAGGGCACCAGCAAATGTTAAAGGGGCAGCCACTACTCAGATCCAGCCTGGTTTGTAAGATTTCTGATTTTTCCAGAAATCTTTCATTCTTTTAAAGTGAACTATCCCCATTTTTTCCAAATGTTGACAGTCACTTTAAAATACACAGATACTATTGAGTGAACCCTTTGTGGGGCCCAACCAAACACATCTGCAGGGTGGTTTCAGTCCATAGGCTCTGACAAAATAATAAGTGTTCATGAAAATAGAAAAACTTCTTAAGGGCCTGACTCTGCGCTCCCCACACTTCCTGCCATACCAGATGTTGCTACCTGGTCATATGACCTTGGAATTCTCCTTTTATGTCTGAATGTTTCTCTCGTGTCTCACCATATACATGGTTTCTGTCTTGTTAACAAGCCCAGGGACCCACATTTACTAAGCATGTGTGTACGGGGTACCTCACAGATAGGCACTCTCATCTGTCCTCCAACTGCCCTACAAGATAGGTATTGTGCTCCCTTTAGCCAATGAGGGGACAGACAGGAGCTGGAGTAATTCCTGATAGTTGAAGGCGAGATCAGAGGGTAAGTGGCAGCCTGTGTGTTTTTGTTTGTTTTTGCTTGCTCTTTTGTAACAGCCACGAGGGGTGTGTTTACTCATGAGTGTTGGCTTCACTCCAGTGATTCAATTACTGGCCAGGCCATGATGACTTGTGATGCAGATCCTGGGGCTTCCTGGTGGCTTCCTTCCAGAGTGTGCTCTGGGATACTCTTCCCACCTCCACCCTTCTCGCCCTGCTCCAGGTCTCTCTAGAGCAGTGGTTCTCAGCCTTCCTAATGCTGCGACCCTTTAATACAGTTCCTCATGTTGTGGTGACCCCCAACCATAAAATTATTTTTGTTACTACTTCATAACTATAATTTTGCTACTATTATGAATCGCCATCGGAAAGGGTCGTTTGACCCCCAAAGGGGTCGCAACCCACCCGTTGAGAACCGCTGGTCTAGACAAAGATGAAAATGCCCATATTTCCTTAATGGGACGTTTTATTCCTAGGACTTTCTAGGACCCTGAGAATTCAGATGAACAACAGCACTAAAACCAATGCAAATGAGCTGAAGAGCTAAATTACAACCCAGTTTATTGGAATCTGTTAGCCACATGCAAAAATGAAAACAAGGCTGCTGGGGGTAGCCTTGGCCTTCCCGGGTGGGATAGGGCTCTGGTGGCTCAAGGTCTCCAGGTGCTGACCTCGGTCCTTGCCTAGTAGCAGCAACAAGAACATTCCTGGTTAGCGTGTGGATGGGAGAGGGGAGGCCTGTCCTCCAGGGCATCAGACAGACAAACAGATACCTTCTGCACCAGAAGAGGTATTGCACAAACACGAGGCAGTCAGCAAGCTCGTAAGTCTAGGTCATGGAGCGTCAAGGTCACCCTTAGCTGAGAACTCCATGGACCGCAGTGATGACCTGAGTATCTGTGAACCAAATCAGTTGGAATTGCATCCTTTTCTTGGTACAGTGGGAAGTGTGGCTTCTGGGGTGAAAAGACGTAAAGCTAGGTTAACTTGGAGCAAGTTTTTAAAGCTCTGTTGTCTCATCTATAAAACAAGGATGAAATAGCAATATGCCTTTAGGAATTACAGCGAGGCTTCATGGACGAATGCAGACGAAAGCACCCTGTGCAGTCTGAGGTTCCGTACAAATAGCAGGTATTGTTTGCCTTGGAAGCTATTCTTGGAATAAGAATAAAACACACTCTTCATCCACCAACAAACAGCCAGACATCTTTGCCATTAAGGGAAGACCAAAGAAAACCCTCTGCCGGTGCAGAGATGTTTGTTTCCCCACCTCTCACTGGGATTCTGCCCCAGCCCAGCTGTTGAGATGCTGAGCAGCAGCTGCGGGTTGGGAGGAAACCCTCAGCAAGACCCTGTACACACCTCCCCCGCCTCCAGAGTCAGACCGCAGTGGCCCTCCTTGCACAGACACGGGGCAACTCAACTTCTTAAGTTGAAACAACATCATTTTGATTGGATTTCTCCACAGGAAGAATGTTATAATAAGATTATATTATTTGAAAAGAGAAGTTATGTTTGAGTTGGGAGCCCAAGAGAGGTTGGCACACTACCTGAAGCAGAGGCCAGGCTGTCTAGGTGACAGGGAAGGCTCTCTGGCAGGGGGCAGGGGGCAGCAGACATCGGAATAGGGGGAAGCTGCAAGAAGCCAAGCTTGAGAGTGTGCACTGGGACTTGCTGTTTTGAATCAGGACTATAATAGAGTCAGGAAGTAACAGACTTCTCCATGTACTAGATGCAGTTTCTCGCCAACTTGAGGGGCCTACCCAAGCATTTTATAAATGGAGCCCGACTGTGGACTATTTGCTTCTGGCCCTCCCTGCAGGTGGGAGCAGTGGCGGCCGGCCTGGTGCTTGGGAGCTGTGCTGCAGAGGCAGGGAAGTTTGCTCAGGCCTTGGAAACCTCATGCCCTGAAGGTCGAGAAGAAGAGAATGCTTGGCATTATTCTCATGCAAAGGAAGCATTTAGAAAGTCCTTAGGGTGCAGCCTGGAAACCACAGGCTGCTCAGAAAGGGTGTCATGTTCACTTTCTGGAGGCTGGGGGGCCAATCCTCAGAACCAGGGCCAGCTGGCAGGGGAGCCCAGTTTAATGTGCTACAGAGAACAAAATATGGAAGCAGCATGCTGTGAATCAGGGCACTTCATACTTTTCACAGTGAGCTTGCCTTTGCCTGGGTCCCATTTCAAAGGCTCTCTTACTAAGCTCTTGCCTGGGAGCACAGAAATGGGCTGGCCAGGCCACTGGGTGTGAGCAGAAGCCCTGGGAAGACATCCTAAGCCTGCTTTGGGTGGGGCAGGATGACTGGAGAAGCTGAGGCAGAGGCAGCTGGGTCAGGCAGTGCACTGAAAGGAGGCCACCCTGCCCTGCCCTGCCCCAGGACTCCTCCCCGTTTCCTGCACTGCCCAAGCTTCCTTGTTTTAGGGGAGTCCTTTGTTGGATGTCACGAGCCATTTCATTCTGTCCTGACACTAGAGCGTAGCAGGATTGCCTAGCGATGTTCAAGAAAAGGGCTAATGCCCATAGCCCACCCAGACTCAGTCAGTCAAAGCCCTGGAGGCTCCCTGACCAGGGGAAGCAGACAGGTACCCGGGGAATTTCAGTTCACTATGCTGGGTGTGACCCCCGAGGATAAACGTAATAGCAGCTGCTGTTTATAGAGTGCCTTGGTCCTGTGCTAAACACTGGGTATCAGCATATTAAATCCTCAAAAACAACAGTATCCTCACGTTGCAAACGAGAAAGTTTGGGCTCATGGAGGTTAAGTAACCTGTTTCAGTAACCAGCATCATCCAGCTAGTATGTAAAAGAGGCAGGGTCCCAACCCAGGAATGTGAAGCTTGCTGATTAGGCTGGACTTTCCAAGTACTGCACGCAGTTAAAAAGAGTTTTATTTGTGCATTTGACCCAAAGCTGCCTTTGACTTCAGAGGGTGCCAGCCCTCCCCAAGTCCTTTAACTCAGCCGTTGGGAGCATTCTAGGCGTGGAACTCGGGTGGATGCTGTGGAGCCTGTGTCTTGGCAGCCTTGCCTGGCCTAAGCCTCTGTGGCAGACATGCTTGGGTGCAGCTGCGGCCCCTCTGCAAAGTTGAGACAGCCTGGGGTTGCTGCCGGCGCCAAGGTGTCCAAAGACTTTGCTCAGCCCTTGCATAGCACCCAGGAGGCACACCTACCACCCTGCTCCTGTGAGTCATACAACTGCCACGCTGCTGCCAGCTCTGCCGTTTCCCCCAGTTGCCACCAGGCTGAAGGAGCACTTAGCCATGAACGGCAGGGCTCTTCCGCAGCCTGCCTTCCCCTTAGAATGTGCCACCGCACAACCCGGTGTGTGGACGCTCCAGGTCCAGGAGGTCTCCTTTGACTTTCACTTGGTGGCTGGGGGAAGAGAGGAGGAGCGGAGCGGAGAATCCAAGGGCTCAGGCCAGACAGGAGCCTCAACCCGTGAACATGAGGTGGGTCCAGGATTAGAACTACCCTGGCTGCCAAGATGAGGCCAGAGAGGTCAAAGGAGGGAGTGATTAGGTTTCATTAAATATGTCAGGCTTTTAGGCTCACCAGTGGATCCCATTTGACATTTGCCGTGGATCTGTCATTGAGAATCTTCTAGCTGAAAGGTTTCTACACTTTTCTTGAATAAAGACTTCCTTATCTGCCTAACCGACATTCTCCCAACTATTGCAAATCCTGATAGCACCTAAAAATGCACCCTTTGTGCTGACTTCTCCAGAGGCATTGTCTTTGGCCATTTTCTGTTGCCAGACTTGCATCCGTGTAGCTGTTGGGTAGGAGCGCCGAAATGAAATAACACCGACCCTTCTGTTCAAGTGCACAGCAGTAGTAGTAGTGGCCTGGGCAACGTGGCCTCTGGTTGCACATGCTCATGTTTGCTGGAGGCCCCCTGACTACTGCAAATGTTTGTGTATATTTGTTTCCCTTCAGAAAATCCTAGAACAGGCTACTTTGTGCTGGATGTGAGGTGCAATGATTAAACTACCAACTAGCACTGCATTTCTGCAGACCGAAGATTGATGAAGGTGCTCAGATGGGTAACACGCTTAGACACCTAGGCCACCACACATTGCCGAGGGCTGTTTTAATTACCTCCTAGAAGTTGTGGGAGAACACATCCTTTTCCCCTAAGGTAACGGAAAGCAGTAAAAATGTTTAAACAACTTAAAGTTGACTGCTACTCACCTTTTAAAAAATGATCTTCAGATTTCAGGTAAAAACAATAACTGAAGATGTCAAGCAAAACAGCAAGCACCAACAACCTCACCCAGGCAAGGAGGACCGTGCAGCAGTTAAGGCTAGAAGCCTCCATTGAAAGAATAAAGGTGAGATGGTTTGATGGGATTAGATGCATTTCACTGATCAGTCCCCTCACTCTCCAAAGGCCACATTTCAGAGAAGGGAGTGCTACTTCATGCAGCTTGGTGCTGGGATTTCCCTAGAGCAAGCTGAGAATCTTAGAATCTTACCTTTCATTTCTGTCTAGCACAGGCCTCATTTCAAAAGCACTGGGGAGCCAAAGTGTCTGAGTTAGCCTCTCTACTTGGACCTGTCTTCCCTGAACGAACACAGTCAAGTCCTGTGATCGCTGTGTTTTACACTGGGACAGCATTCCTCGTCATCCCTCTGGAATGTATTAAGTGTTCTGGATTTATCAGTGCAGCTGAGGTAGGCCTGCACAACAACTCAGCACTCAGGGTCTCCTTTTTAGGAGAATGCAGCTTTTTAAATGTGTGGCCTTGAGTACCATGTTCTGCACCCAGGGTAAGGAATGTCAGCCCTCGTTGAGATCTGGAAGAAACTGGAAGGTGTGTGTTAGGTCACCTGCCTTTGGAGTCTTTTCCCCCAAAATCCCAAGAAAGGACAAGGCAGCGAGTGTCGTGGAATGTTGTGAGTAATGCTGTTTCCTAGAAACAGAAGCAGTCGCCTGATAAATTCCTCTGGGTCTGGAGATAGTCACCTGTCTTTAAAACGGGAGGCCTGCTGTGCTGTAGTTGACAGGGTTCAGCTGAGGACACTGATCTGAGTATTCCAAGGGATCTCCCACCCAGACTTCTGAACATGGCATAGTATTTTCCATTTTTAACTCATGCCAGAGGAAGGCACTGCATCGTCTTCCACGCCGATTTTGTCTCTGTTTACCCAAGACCAATCAGTAAATCTTGAAACTCTAGGAGAATTCTGTCTCCAAACCCATAGTTCAGTTCTTTAATTGTTCTGCATCCTAATCGATTTTTTTGGTTGGGGCTAGAAACTAAGAAACCTTCCACTGATTCACATACACTTTTCCTTACCTCCCCACGACGTTTTATTTTGAGAAAATTCAAATCTATGGAAGAGTTGTAACAGCAAACACACATGCACTCTCGACCAAAATTCATCGATTGTTAACATTTTGCCACATTTGCTCTCTGTCTCTGCACACACATACTTACAAAATACATAAAATTTTTTCTTTGAACCACTTTAAAAGTTATTGGCAGGCATTGTGACTTATCCCCGCCTAAGTACTTCACCATCTATCTCTCCAAAGTACAAGAGCATTCTCCTACATAACCCAGTACAGTGATAACATTCAGGATCAGCTAGGAATATTAACGAACACACAGTTCATTCATGAGGAATCCAGGCCACTCTCTGCTGGGCGGCTCTCACTTGCGATGGAATTGTTTGCTGGCGATTAGATTCCAGTTAAATGTTTTGGCAGAACACTAGCTAGCTGGTGGTGTGTCCTCAGTGCTCACACTAGGAGAAATAGGATGGTAGTTTAATCCCGTGATTAAGGAAGGCCTTATCTGCCCGACTTCACCATATAAAAGCTCCTTTTCCCTTTTTAACAAGTGATCTGCGACTGATACAGTGAGACCCTGGTTGTCCTCTTCTCGTGCAAACACATTCTGATGAAGTTTGTAAATAAAGTGTTTCCTTTCTTGTTTGTCTGCACGTTAGGTTTCGAAGGCGTCCGCGGACCTGCTGTCCTACTGTGAGGAGCATGCCAGGAACGACCCTCTGCTGATAGGGATACCCACCTCAGAAAACCCTTTCAAGGATAAGAAGACCTGCATCATCTTATAGAGGAAGATGAAACGGTTCCTTACGACCTCTCAACAAATCAAATTACGAGCAGCTCCTTGAAGAGAATTACCTTCAGCTTATTTGGTAACCACTGCTAATAACTAAAATGCTCTTACCATGGAATAATAGACTCTGAAGTCTTTATTTTCCAAGTTGTCCCTTTTTCTGAAATACTCTTTACTGATCTAATACAAAACAGCAGTTTTGTTTTCCATTTGGTAACTATGGTGTCACATTGGGTTGCTGCTTAACAAAAGTCAGTCTGGGCCTTTTAAAAAAACAATGATATACTTTCAACTATACGAATGATCCATTTCTATCAAGAGCTAAATTACCTAAGCCCCCATCTAGATTAAAATGCCAAGAATAATTTAAGTCCTTAAACCCTTATTATAATGTGTTCTTAACATGGTTGTGCCAACCTGTTCAGTGTACATGGATGAGGAGTGTTTTTGTGTGCGTATATATATATACCTATATATCTATATCTATATATATCTATATATATATGTCTTTGTATATACACATATCAAAGCTTATTTGCTTATTAAAATTTCTTTCTCCATACCATCAGTTCCCCAGCTCCAGAAGTTAAACCTTTATCTTAAGTTCTGTGTTGGTAGAATAAGAAATTCTTTTTATATAGTTATTGTACAAAAAGTAAAGAACATCCTAAAGGTTGTATTCGTTGTAACTGAGTAATGAAGTCATCTCTTGCTGACCCTCTTTGGCTACTATACACTGTGCCAATTAAAATGTTTAAAGTGAACTAAAAGCCCTTCTATAATGTGAGGTACTCATTCACAAGAGGCCTTCTGGGCTTCCGTTCTCTGGATTAGGGGCAGACACCTCTGAAACCCCCCCTGATGCTGGGACTGAGACCAAGTGCGCAGGAGCCCAGCAGAGAGAGGAGCGGGGCTGTTTAAAACCAGCCTCTGTTCTTGACCAGACTTTGCGATTCAACTCCTTCTCTTCTCGCTGCCTTCCCTCTGTCTTTCCTCTCCTACTAGAACATCTATTGCACAGGTAATGTTGGTGGAACATGGTGAGAATGAAACATACAAAAAACATGAAGGTAGTAATACACAAGCTCTTTCCAAACACCTGCAGCGTCAGTCATCCCGACCCTGTCCACGAACCATCCAAGAGAGGCAGGGATTCCGTGGCACACGACTTGGGATCAGCAGCCAGGCGTTGGGTTCCTTGATTTTCCTCAGGGCACAAAGGTAGCCCTCACATCCTCAGATTTCCAGGGGGATCCCAAAGGAAGGAATCTCCTCTGACCAAGAGGTATGTTAATTGTATCAAAGGAAAAGAAGAGAGGTTCTTTTTTTTTAATGCTCACTTAAGGGCCCCAATCATACTCTTGGCTTTTGATAATTTATCTTCAGCTCATTAAAAATAACTACTAATGAAGGATTGAAAATGTATTCTCACCTGAATGTGTTCTGCAGAGATTTAGAAAAAGCTGGCAATAGTAAAGCCATGTTACGAGCCTTAAAGACATTGACATTGAAGTCATTAAGGTCCCTGAAAATGGCTATAAGAAAAAAAAAAAAGAAAATGTATTCTCAAAAAGGATTGAACCACCAAAAAGAATTTTTTGCAACGGATTTTTCCTGTACCATGTTGCCCTACAATGCAAGCCCCTTTCAAAATCTAATGTCTGGGCTTTGGGTATTATGTTCATTGTTGATAAACAAATGCAGGACTATTTTTAAACTGCTCAGATATATTCCGTATTTCTCCACGTCACTATCTATTCAGCATCGTGAACTGGCCTCGCTTTTCCAAGACCGTGTGAACCACGCCACTGCCCTAAACCTCGTGTCATCTAGAGCTTGGTTCTGCAATATGCCCAGTTCCCATGTAAAGTGTAGCCACCTGTTCGGCAGAGAGAATGGTTTTACCTTTCAAAGGGTGGAGTTTGAAGCGTACACTAAAAAGACATCTTTACATTTAATGCATCACATAAGGAGACATCTTTTTTTTTTAATAAGTATATTTTTCTGGCAGTTTCAGAACACTAATCTTATTTTCACTCTGATTCTTAATGCTTCTTTAAATATTTATAATACATCTTGTTAAAGTATTTTCATGGAATTATGTTTATTATAGTTATATGCACATTTTTGGTAGCAGGCATAGTTTATTCTTCAGTACTAAAACATGTTCTTTCACCTAAAAGAAAACAAATATGTTTTGCTATATGCTTGTTGTAATAAGGAATGGACTTGAGGTCCCAGGAGATTTCATTTTATTTTTGCTGGCCAGAAATCACAAAGGCCATGAGTATAAATGTCGTGTAACTTCCTAACCAGGTGTAGGGCCTGTTCAAGAAAAGTGAAATCGAATCCTTTGATGCTGGACCCAAGGAGGGGGTAAATTGTAGCTAAATGTTGATTACTTATAACTAGACAGCTATGTAAGAAAATATAATATATGTATACATATAAATGATATGCAGAAGTCACTTTTATTTATCAGGCTTTAGTCTACTTGTGAAGCCACAGTTCAACTGTTCTGCAGAGCTGGTTTATGATAATGATGGACAAATGCCCAGTGTGTTATTTTTTCCAACTACCAGTATAATGACACACTTAATCACATATATACATGCAACTTCTTGGCTTCATTTCTATGAAGCCATTTAAATATGTTCACTATACTTTGTCTTTGATGCTGCTTCTGTTAACAGTGATCTCTCTGTTTTTTATTCTTATATCTTTATTAGTTCATCACAAATCTGTCCAGTTGGGGCCTCAGGATCATGGCAAGGTATGCTAGACAAAATGTCATGATTCCAAAGAATTTTACAGAAACTTTTTTTTCCCCCTAGAGAGAACACCTTATGTGCCAGGTGGTTCACAAGTTATAGGTTGTAACTACTTTTTTCCTTAAAAGAATCAGGTATTTACATTTCCTTACTTTTTTAAAATAAAAAGTGCCATACTTACCTTTTAAAGAAAAGATCTAATTTGCTTCCTCTTTGTTTGGACTATTTTTGTACTTTACTAATTTTTAAACTATCAGAAAAACAATTATACCGATAATTTAGTAATTTTGAGGTATAGGATAGTTTAGGGAATGCAGGATGTGTGCCAAACTTTCTCTTCCGATGCCTTCTTTTCAACCAATTTACAACTAAAATGGGGTTGTCTGAGTGATTATACCCAATTTCAATTTAAGATCAAAATAGGCCCCAGAAGTGAATTACACTATATGTCAGTCCTTTCACAATAAAATAAATACAATACAGACTATGTTATTAATTGTATTGATTTCTTTTATGGCGTATCTGTTCATAGGAAAAAGTACATTGAATCAAGTAGACTTATATGTATATTAAAATAGCGCACTCACCTAAAGTTGGGTGGCTTAGGTCGTTTTCTAGCCAATCCTATGTCCTTGTGTCATGTGGCTTTGGACAAGGCACTTCATGTCTCTGTGCCTCCCTTTTGCCATCTGTAAAACAACAGGCTTGAAGTAGATGGTGGCTGAGATCCCTTCCTGCCCTCAGACGTCCTGGTCCAGTGGTCCACCCCTCTACTTGTCTACCAGCGTGTTGGTGCTATAAGCTGCTTCAGATACAGAATTCGTTTGTCTGTTGTGTATGCTCATTTAATAGCTTAGGGAGGGCCTTTTTGTCATACAGGTTTTTTTTCTAGTCTTGTGGACTTGATTACTGTAACAATGTCTTGTTTTTCGCTTTGTAACGATAAACATATATTCTCTTGATGTCTCAGTAAAATTTGATATATAGTTGATGGGATCTTGTTATTTTATAACATTCTTTGGCTACTCATCTGTCCAGCATCTTATTAACCTAAATACTGTGATCATTGTTTGGAAATCTGTCCTATGGAAAGAATAAAAGCATTTATTTCACAGCTAACGTGTTCAGATTTGAAAGAAGTTTCATTAAAGCACTATTGCTCTTTACTGGGTCAGTGCCTCATTGTGTCATCCCCTCCGTGGCTGAGCAAATTAAAAGAAGACCTGCTCTTTTTCCCTTTTCCTTCCTTCATTCATTCTGTTAACATTTTCTGAGCACCTACTGAGAGCCAGGTGTGGAACTCAGGCTCTGCTGATACTCAGATAAGACACACACCAACCCATGAGAAGCTTACAGTCTAGAGTGAGGAGGGTAGGAATAACAGACCTATAAATAATAGTTACGTCACCATGTGCAGAGTGCCATAGTTCAGGTGAAGACACAGTGCTATGAGAGCCCAGGGGAAAAAGGGCTCCATGTCGGCAGAGTCAGAAGGCTTTCCAGGGGGGTGATGTTTGAGCTGAGTCCTCAGAGAAGAAAGCCTGTACGCACTGGAACGAAGTCTTAGGAGGAAATGACAGGCGGAGAAAAGGGGGCTCAGAGCCAGTGTGCAGAGCGTCTCCCATACTACCTGTTTATCCCACAAGAAACAGGAAGTCAGTAGGGGTTGTTAAAGAGTGACGTAAGGATTCCCAATGTGTGGAGGGGTGTTTCCCATCCTGAGACCCAGCAGTGACCATGGAAACAGATAACAAATGGAAAGGTCGTTAGACTCCCAATGACTCATATTCACCAAGCATCTGTTGAAGGTACCCAGCCTCCTCCTCCTCCTCCTCCTCCCCTCCCCTCCTTCTCCTCCTCCCACCCCTTTTCCCAGGGCTGGGATTCCCACAGAGATGAAGGAAAGACAACTTCATCTAAAAAGGGAAAAGCAGCCGATGAACACCTGGTTACGGACTGGGCAGCTATAGAGGTGGCCTCTGCTTCTGAGACCAGTCCTCACACACTACGAAGGGTAGGAGCAAATGATAGCTGTTTAATCCTTTCTAGGAAAGGACTGAAGAATTCAGACACTTTCATCATGAAAAATAGGCAACAACTGACAAGCACTTTCTCTGGAGCAGACTAAATTACCAGAAGTAATTCTATTGGGGTGGTAGATGGGATAGGGTAGCACTGATTTTAAAACAAGGTGAGGAGCAGGAGCTCAATGAGGCTGAAAAGGGTCAACTAAGCAATCATGGCAGATGAAATGTCACACTTTCTTAATGTTATGAACAAGGAACTGAAACCTTCAGGTAATGGTGGGAGAATGTCACATGACCTTTCAACTTTCCCAGCAATCAGCTCATTGGTAAGGATCAATTACACAAACATGGATATTCATCATAAGCCACCTTATTTGGGGCTAAGTAGACGAGTATTTCTCCCTCCTTTCTTCCCTGTGCCCAGGTTTACAAACTTTCAGCTTACAGCTCCGACTGCAGAACCTGGCCCCACTGGCCATCTGCACAACCCGCTGTGACTGTCACCGTCTGTGACTGTCACCGTTAGACTGTTTTCAGAGTAGGGTTCTGTTCTACCTGCTCCCTACCCTTTCACTGCTGTCAGGAGCTAATAGCCTTTGTCTTCAGCCGAGCCCTTCTGTCCCTCCACTTACTATCTCCTTATCTAAGTCATTCACGTCTATTAAGGGTTGTTTAACTGTAGGCCAGCCCTGGGCAAACATGCACAGTTGATCT